TCAATATATTCTTTATATTTATATTTATGAATATTAATGTGTTTGTAGATACGATTCTACAGCAGTTCTGGACTTTTTATGGGCTCTGACATGCAATCCTAAGCTGTGGCAGGGTCGGGACAAGTTTACTCCGAAGCATTATGTTCCTGAGAATATTCTGTTGTTGGAAGAACGGCAGCTGCTTAATCTAGTGGCATATATAGTGTCTGAAGGCGTTATTATCTGTAAAATGCAGAACAGAAATGCCGCCCTAGCGAGGATGGATATTAGACTCGATCTACTCTTACACTGTATATCCACCGAAGACAGCCTGATTCCTAATGTGGTTAATTATTTAGCGAAACGTATGATGGATAATACTGAGTACGAATTTTATAGTCGTATAAATTTTGCAGTGCATAATTTAGTGTTTGTCATTTTAATGTATTTGAATAAAATGATTGTATTTAACTTTCAGTGCAGACTCAGCAGATATGGCGCATCAATTTCTACTGCATATGTACATGAAGATTCCGAAAGTCATTTGTTACCTGGATACTTTCCAAGCGAGCAAGTTTGTTAATGGTTCGAGGATAACCGATTGGACGGGCTCGGTGCTCGACTGCATGAGCCACTCTCTGTTAACGGCTCTGGCGGCGACCCCGAGACAAAAATCGTGGAATTCCAAGTCTCAGGAATTCGAACTCTGTGCGAGAAAAATGGCCGCAGTACATCCTATATTGGTACTGCGACAATTGCCGATGTTGGCATCCTCTTTGATGGGAAGATGTTATCTTGATTTCGGTTCATTTAGATCCGGCCATCATTTAAACCTTTTCAATCAAGTTATGGGGCTATTGGAACTATTACAGCCACATCTGTTTAACGAGCAACATGAGATTGCATTGGAGAATACTTTGGGAAATTACTTCCAGTGTTTTCAGGTATTACTATTTATATACCTTCTATAATGATACATTTACATAATTGTAAAATGCTGTCAATTGTAAGTGTAAATTAAAAAACTTAATTTACAAACTGCATTATAAGATAAAATATTAAATGATTTAGGTCTTTATTAGTTACCCTAAAATGTTTTTTTTTATTCCTTCTTCATTTCAGATCCTTCAAATACAAACTATTTTAATGCTGTATAATTTTGTTTACAGAATTATGGGCATATAAAAGATCTTGTTTCTTTGCTGAACAGATTTGTGTCATTATTACAGTCCTATGTATCACATGATCCACAACGAGCATTGAAATATCTTCAAAAACACGCACATGCTTTACAGTAAGTTATTTTCTATTTTTTATGTATATTATTCTTATGTATTATCTATGTATACTGTAAATAATTTACATTTAATATGTTTATATATACATATAATTTATATATATATACATATATACATATAGTTTACATGTGTATACAGTGAGTTGCAGGTACATTATTCAAACGTACCTGCTTTGAGAACACTCGTATCAGGAATACCGATGCCGAGAGAGGGAGAAGATATGGATGATATTTTAATCACCGTAACTCCCGCGCTACATCCACCGGAACCCACTATTCCGCAACACTGGCAATCGCTGCTAACTACACTTGCCAAGCTGCATGGAGAAGGTACAAAAAGTACTCTATCATCTTTATAAAATCTAAACATCTTTATTTAAATCATAAAATTGTTCAATTACACACATACGCACATTTACACACAATGTCCAGCGGTTCTTGAATATCCTTGTATCCTGAAATTTTATATTCTGGAAAATTCCTGGAAAACCTCTGAAATTTCAGGTTTGGACTGGAATTTGTTATTTTTTCATTCTAAAAAAGTCAGAACGTGAGAAAAAGAAATAATAAAAAGAAAAGTTGTGTTTGGGCATAAATCATTCCTTGGTGCAATAAGTTTACCAATAAGAAACTTTGAATTTAATGTCTAAAATAAAATATAATAACAAAAAATCGTTTGACGGAACGTTTCTTTGATATTATTTATAAATAATATTATTCCCAATTTGTTAGCATTTTAATTCATTCTATAGAATCCTAACTTGAATACGAAGCATATAATATTGCACGAATCGATGAAAATTAATTAATAAAAATTAATCGATGGATAAATCCTGAAAAAACCAGGACTTTTACTTGAAATGTTCTGGAATTATCCTTGAATTGACTAGCCAGATTTTGCTGGACATCACATATATAAAACGAAGAATTTATTTATCGTTTTTTATAAACGCATTAAAGTATTACAATTAAAGTATCAAATATTCTAATTATGAGATCGCTCCTCTTTAGATGTACTCAGTGCTCTTCAAGAAATCGAGCATGTGGCATTGCGAAAACCTTCAGTTTTGGAGCCTATAACGGACAACATAGCAGAATTACTTGTATCACCGCAAAGTAATATCAGATCACTCGCTCACAGTCTACTCGCTAGAGCATTGAAATACCGTCCTGCATCCAATGCAAACATATTATCGGCATTTCAAAGGTGCTTGGACAGTCACAGAGCGGATGTCCTTATGTCAGCTTTAGAAAAATTACCGGATATCGTATTATGCATGCAAGGTAGAATGAACTTTTGTAACAAAATGGATTTACGTATTTCAATATTGAAGTATAACAATAATTTTACAAACTTATAAATCCTTTTCTTTTTACATTATAGAACACGCTTTACCGTTGCTGCAGAGGGTGTTTGAATTGGGAGTAAATTCAAATGTCAACACGATACCTTATATTACTAAGACTATAGCTCTGTTAAATACACAGCAAGGTTGTTAACGTCTGAAACTGTTAGTTTTGTAAATATTATTTGTAAGACTTTTTTACAATTAAAATAGAACAGTGAAAGACTTTTATCTCTTTCCTTCCAACTTGTTTATATTTAAGCTATAAGAAAGAATTATTTATATTATAAAATATTAATATAATTATTTAAATATAAATAAGAATATAAAATTTTATTTGTATTTTTTATGACCAACATATATACAATACATATATTCTCTTAAAGTTTAATATAATTGTATGTTTATTGAAAAGCTTCTGAGGGAACGTCATTAACTGAATAGTTTTTCATAAAAGTAATAATCGCGTTTTTTATATTCCACTCTGCATCCTGAAGATATTTGTAACAGTATCGAATGTTCATTGTAGTAAGTTCACGTAAAAATCTAAGCAGTTGTTCCTTTTCTGTCACGCTGAGTACTGTTGGAATAAATTTAGGCACGACCCTTGGATCAAATCTTACTTCGTTAGTCGTGTTGGGGGGTGTACCATCAATATAACATAAATCATTAATAATACAATATTCATTGTCTTCTTTTCGTGTAATAATGAAAGTTCTGTTGAACAGCATGGGTGGACAGATTGCCAGTCGATATGCAAATAGACCTTGCACAGAAACAGTTAAACAATTATCTTCTTCATACAACAAGTCGATACAAAATGTTTTGAGATAGTGTATTGTTGGTGGTTGCTTTTGAAGGGCAGTGATTATTTTTTCAGGTCCTCGAAATAGAAATTCGTGACACTTGGCACAATCAGAGATTTTATACCAGTTTCTATTCATGGAAAATGTCTTAACAATCTCTTTATGTATATGATTCGTTATATTATTACCTAACGACATGGAATAGAATGCACTTTTATCATATAGGCCGTTTATAACTATTCTGTCGTCTTGGTCATATAGGGCGAAAAAATGCTTGACAAATTGTCTCATCAGTGGAATCTTCGTTCCGTTGCCTAGATAATAACTCTGCATGCTCGGCACAAACTTATTCTCCATTCCTATAACGATTCCATCCAAGATCTGTAAATGCGGGAAAACAATCTTCACGGCCTCTATGTACTCCTGGGGATTGGTGTATTTTGCACATAATGGATTCCCATCCAACCAAAGTTCGCTTATCTTAAACTCGCAAAAATAGCGTAGATATTCCACATCCAAGATTTGATTATGCCTCAAGTCCAACTTGGTCAAATGGAAATTGAAAAATTTATCGAACAGGATAACAGCTGTGAGTTTGTTATATCTCAAGCTCAACTCACGGACGGCCAGTTTCGATTGTTGAGGGTCACGAATGCTCATACTTGTCCTGCTGCAACGCAAGACCAGATCGAAGATCTTAGGTATGGAAATGGGACAGAATATCGAGCCCAAAGCCCTCTCGTTCTCGAAGTCGTCCAGATTAAATACCTTTCTTATTGGCTCATATCTACATTGCAGGGCATCTGCTATGATCTTGTTTGTATTCACTCGCAGCTCGTTTGCACCAAGGAATCCCAGAATAATGTCTATATACAAGTCCTGGCCGCTGGACAATGTTATGATTAATCCCTGCTTCACTAGATTCTCTATGGCATTAATGGCACATTTCGCGAGAAACGTGGTCTTATTCTTGTCCTCGACGGTGTACATGATTGGTATCAGGAGTGCTGGTTCACAGGTGATTACAATGGCGCGCAGGACATCGGTTCGCCTATACACAGCGCCGTCGAAGACGATGAACTTGTGCCACAGATCCGTGCGATTTGCAAGTGCCTTTTCGCATTTGTCGAAGGTCGGCTTGATATGCGTGATCCGGTGCGGCTCCCATGACGTTTGACTTATTGCCGTTGTCGTTGATGCTGTCGACGATGTTGACGTTGATGTCGGTGATGCCATTATTTGTATCGCGAGAAATAACGGCTTCTCCTAATCTATTTGCACCACAACTTGCCTGATTGATATAATAATGTTACAACAGATACATAACAATTACATTAATGAATAAATATCAATATTTCATTACAAACTTTACTCTGATTTTAAAGACATTCGCTGTAGTAACCTTTCTCTCTTGTTTATAAACTTTTGTAATTACGGGTTAGGTTAGATCAGATTGTAATTAAGGTTAGATTAAGGTTAGATTGAATGTATGAAGTCAGAAATATCGATATATATTCGATTATTCGATAGTCTCGATAATCAGATTGTGACTCACTTCACAGCTATATTACCTCTGTGCTGTTGACGTATATGGTTAGGAACGTTGTACAAGAAAATACAATAAATTTCTTGACGTCGCAGAAATTTGAGGTAAGGAGGTACAATTCTGTTTAACTTCTTATTTGATTTATTTTGAAAAAGGTTATTTTCAGTGCTACATACAAATAAAGCATAAACCTACACATTAAGAATTGATCTTTTGTCTACATGTAATTATATATGTACTTAACATAAAGATCAAATGCAATAGAATAAAAATGTCCAGTAAAATAAAAATGTTTCACTTGAAGGTTTTCAGAATACTGTTTTGTATTTTTCGATAAAAGACATTATCTTGACTTATTTTGAAGTAAAAAGATAATTTTCTATCAGTGCTGTATAAACATATAAAGCATAAGTCATTAGTTTATATATTGAAATGTAAATTAAATATGTATTAAAAATTGATTTTTATCTGTCTGAAATATAATTATATACCTGTTAGCATAAAAATCAAATGCAATTGATAGAATATGAATTTTCTTTTATTTAAATATTTTCAAAACACAGTTCTATAATTTTATCCACAAAAGACATTGTCTTAATTTATTTAGAAGTAAAAAGATAAGTTTCTGTTAGTGCTGTAAAGCGTAAAATGTTAGTCTATACGTACATTAATTGATTTTGTATTTAATATAACTGTGTATCTGTTGTTGTAAAGATCAAATGTAATTGATAGAATATAAACTTTCTTTTACTTAAATATTTCCAGGATTTTGTAATTTTATCCATACAAGACATTGTGATAACTGAGGATGTCGAAAGTATTGGACGAGGAATTGAAGCAAGCCTTCTCAAAGTTGCATGAGAAGATGGTAGATACTAAGCAAAAATTGAAGTTGGCTGATATACAAATCGATAAATTGCGGCGTACGAAACAGCGGGCAGAACTCACCACGAAGGAAATTAGCAATTTACCCGAGGACACAAGAATGTATGAGTCTGTCGGTCGAATGTTCCTTCTAGATAATATGAACAACATTAAGGAGAATTTGGATAGTAGAATAAAAACGTCTGATGAGAAGATCAAGACGCTAGAGAATAACAAAACGTATCTACAGCGGAGTTTGAAGGAGAGCGAAAATGAAATCAGAGAAATGATTCAGCAAAAGCAGAGCAAGGAGACTTCGGGTTAAATGAGACTTGCGTATCAATGTGTGAATGTGCTATTTCAGTTTTTTCTCATCAATATCTTTTAAATTTTTCGGATTATTATTTGGAATATGTATCTATTGGATATGTAAATATATATTATAAAAAAATCTATAATCTGTCACCTTTTGCACGTTTATTTTTTTGAGTGTGACATTTTTTTTTATATACTGTATGTGGAATAAAATATTATATGGTCAGTGAACTTAACCATTTGTAAGAATTAAATCAACTCGATTGTTTTTAATTATGAAATTGTAAGAAAAATATACAAGAAACAATATTATATGTATTTAAATGATTATAATTAAATAAATATTTTGATTTTATATTTTAAAGGATATGTGGTGTGAGAAATTGTTTTGTACTTTATAACTTGACTCCGTTATCGTTCATATTTTCACAAAAGCAAAATAGATAACAAATAAACTAAATATGTATTACATTATATATTTTGTCTTCATTAATAGTTGATTGAAAACAAAAAAACTACTATTGGTACAGTTATTATTGGTTTTATTTAATAAATGCAGATAATTAGCCGATAACATTTAATTAATTTCCATAAAGTATTCACTATTGATGATAAAATTGTCTAACTGGAATGTGGCGACATCTGTTGTCATGTTTGATATTTTGACTTTGTTGGATCAGACTGTCAGCGTAGGTTGGTGTGTGTGCGCTGTAGATCCGGTAATATAACCTTTTTTTGACCAAAGTTGACCAAAGTTAAATTTCAATCTGTGCAACACAATGTCAACGTTAATATTAAGATCTATTGCATTAAATAGAAGTACTCATAATGTCTTTACAAAGGTAATCTTTCATGAAAAGTCTGTTTCATATCCTAAAACAACAACATTTTATACATACAGTAAATGTAAAGAGTACATGTACAGGAAAGATTTTTACTAAAAAAGCTTTGTAGAAAATAAACACTGATTAGCAATTTATTAATAATGATTACAATATATGTTAAATTCCTCGAAATTATTTCACCTAAAAAGATGTAGAAATTAAGATATATTATCTTAATATTAGCTAAGCGAAAATGATAAATTGTACTATTTGGATAGCAGAATAGATTAAATTTTTATTTAACAATATATTTGTTTTTTTTATATTTTTGTTCAACTTTTATATTTCGACGTTTTATTTTATATAATAATTTTTGGCTTGTAGCCCCTTTTTTCTTTAGTTTTTTTAAATTATGAGCCTTATTACTAACAGATATTTTAGTAATAGTTTTTCGTTTACTCAGTTTAGATACATGAACACGTCAAATGTGTTAAATCAACAGTCTATTTTACCCAAAAAACCTACAAAAATAAAGAAATCGCCAATTACATGGAAAAGCTTGGCAGTTTCTGGTATTATTGGTACTGGTCTTGTGTTATATGTGCATCACCTTAGAGTGGAAAAAGATAAGATTATAGCAAAAGAAAGAAGGCGACAGTTAGGCAAAGCTAAGATTGGCGGCAACTTCGAGTTGGTGAATACAGAAGGAAAGACAGTGAAATCTGATGATTTCTTAGGGCAATGGGTGTTGATATATTTTGGATTTACGCATTGTCCAGATGTTTGCCCCGATGAAATTGAAAAAATGACAAACGTAGTAAACACTCTTGGTAAGTGTTAGAGATTTAAGTTAATTATAATAATTAAAAATACTCTCGTTGTCTTACATTTGGTTAATAGAGTACATGATTTTCAGAAAAAGAACACAACTTCAAGATACAACCGATTTTCATATCAGTGGATCCAGAAAGAGATACGCCCACTGTTGTTGGCAAGTATCTGAAAGAATTTTCTGACAAGATCATTGGTCTTACTGGCAGTATTGAACAAGTTGGAAAAGCATGCAAGGCATACAGAGTTTACTATAGTAATGGACCTAAAGACCAGGATGAGGATTATATTGTTAGTATATTATGAATTAGAAGCAATATAAATAATTGTACATATATTTTAGTAACAACCCCAATTTGATAACAATTATATTTTTTTTCTAGGTGGATCACACAATCATTATATATTTGATAGATCCAGAGGGCTTGTTTGTGGATTACTATGGGCAAACACATGATGTAGAAAAGATCGTGACTAGTATTTTTATCAACAAGCTGAAGTATGATCAATTAAAGGATGAGTCTTCTTCTTGGCTTCCGTCGTTGCCGATCAAAGGAGTGTTATAAACGTTGCGACATTCTTATGTACAGATAATTAATGTATTATATGAACAGAACATTTCTTGCAGCACAATACTGACTTAAAAAAAAAAA